GGGGGGGGGGGTGTCGGTGTCCCACATTTTGCACTGTCCCTTACAGTTATCCTATTTAAAAGAGGTCTCAGATAGGACACCCAAAGCTGAGACCTTCACAAACAAACATGCTTATATAATCATCTTTAAAGTCCTTCCTGATTATGTTTCTAACTAAGCCAGCTGAACTGTCAGAGAAGAAAGAGCTGAAGATTGGCATGGGACCATGAAAATAAAACTTACTTCATACTCCATTATGCTTATAAATTGTGTGAAATAAAATGCACGCTAATCTCAAATCACAAACAACAAAAAACCGAAAGTAGCCAACATTCCTAAACAAATACACCATAAGAACATAAACAAGTTAGGGGTGCACTGATAAAGATTTTTTTGGCCAATATTGATGGCTAATTATTAACCAGCCATGTCAACTGATACCGATCCAATAGCTGATATGCAGCCCAGCAGCTTGGAGAGCAGCATCTGGCTGGTATGTCTGGGGGGGTGGGGAGAGTAGGAATGTGAGGGGGGGCAGATTGAGGCTGCTGTGGTGAGGGAGGAAGTGGGGCTGGGGCAGGTGCTGCCCAGCCAAGGTGGGGCATGGGGCAGAGCTGTGGGCGATACATCGCTGCTCTCTAAAAACAAATGAAGCAGTTTGGTCAAAAATAAATAATAAAGACAATGTAACGTCATTCCCTCAGGAATTGTTTTTGAATGGGGCTTACATTTTAAAGAAATCTTGGCAACTTCTGAAGAACCATGAGAAAATTATTCTGGAAAAACATGGAAGTCTTGGGAAAAGTATAAGCAAGAGAGGAAATGCTAGGAGTAATTTTTGCATCACAGGGTAGTAAAGCTTTCTCTGCTCGTAGAACACCACTCAATTCAGCAGATCAGTTAGATACGCAGTAAAACAACTAATTTAAAAACAGATTCTGCCAGTCTTACTCATGTTGAGTCAGCCTCTACCCAACAGCTTCACCATTCACAAAAAATGCCAACCTGAATATGGAGTAAGGCACTTCAGCAAAACAACAGCTAGAATCTGCCTCACTCAGTTCAAGCCAAACCTTTTATGGCTGTATGTCTCAAACATGATGCATAAAATGCTGCTCACAACACTTACCATTTTTCCCCTCTGTTGAGCAGATCTGGTTTCACGCAGACTGAATACATTCCCACACACAGATATCTCCCTCCACACCCCTGGTTTGGAGTCCTCGGTAAACCCATTGCGTGGATGCATAACAAGAACTCCATTTGTGGTTAATCCATCCATCTGCCCATCTGACGTCTTCCACTTGGCAGCCTTCTCCTGTGAGGAATGACATCAATGAAAGAATTTCCATTCACCTTTAATTCTAAGTTAAGAGCTAGTTGAAATATAAGGCTGCACTGAGCCAGGAAGAGAAAGTGGCTCTTTACCCCAAGAAAGATGTTTTTGGATGAGTCGAATCCTGCAGCATATATTCTTGCTGTGAAAGGAGGGTTCCGTTCACATATGATTCTGCAAGCAAACCTTGATATAGTGCTCTGTACTGACTGTGTATCTGAATTACTCTGACTTCCAGGAACTGTATCTGTCACAACAAAGTCAATTGGGCTTTCTGTTGACCGGCCAATCTGAGCAAGAGAAAATACAAGATTTTAGAAGATAGTTATGACATAATTTTTAAACCCAACAGAATTAGAAACCACCAGGAATAAACCATGACTTCCTGGACATTGAAGGCATTTTTTGACTTAAAATTTAGGTTTTTGAGATCATGTACTATCCTTACCTGATGAATTACAGAACTCCTAATTGGTCATTCAGGAATCACAATACAGGTAAAAGAAGGGAAAAATAATTATGAAGAAGTCAGATCTGACATGGCTTCCCACTGGAAGTCATCTCATCCAGAAAGTTATAACTAAGTTAGGCAGATAGACTGTTACAGTGCCACGACAGCCAAAAAGAAATCTGTTCATAGAAGACGACAATTAGTTGAGCTCTTGTGGTTGTACAAGCCTAAAGTATGTTTTGATACCAAATTTTGGAACCTGCTGGATGTACAAACATTAGGAAAGAACACTTGGAATATTATACCTGGCATTCCTGTTCTGAAAGAATACTGGAATCAAGGTGATACTTGTTATAAGAGACCAGGCACATGAAGCTTGTATTTTAGTAAAAATATCCCTGCCACAGCTCAGTGCAACCAGGAAAAACAGTAAAATGCTATAAACACACCCTTCAGAAAACATTCTTCTGTCTAGCTGCAGAGAGGCTGCCCACAGTGTTCTCTTTCAGTTGCAAGCCACAGGGAATTCTCCCCTAAATTCAGGCGCTTTGAACCCTACTAGCAATTTCAAAGCTGCAGTCATACTATAACGAGCCTGAAGGGAGCACTTTTACAAGCAGCAACTGATACATTTAAGTTATTGTAGCCCTTTTGTAGTTATCTGTGATTGCAGAGAAGCTTCTGTTACTGCCTTCAGGGGTTGCCACCTCCTTGGATCTGGCAGTATCACCACAGCCATTAGCTGAGACAGAAAAACTTGCCATAACTGATGCAACAAAATCAAGGCAGCTTTGGTGCAAGAAGAGACACGAGAACAAAATAAAAACTAATTTCTTCTGAAAGAAAAATCTTTAAAAATAAAACAGGAAATAAGATATGATAAAACCCCCCACTATGGTCCATTTCTACTCATGGTTCACATGATGTGAAGCCAAAGTACATGCTAAACTCACTGGGGTTACAGCAGTGCATCACAACCAAGTCCGCTGTTCCAACATTTCCCCATTGCCGAAGTTACTCGCATTTAGGGGTTTTTTTAATATCATAAAATAGTAATTATTCCAAACTACTTGCACTTTGTATTTCTACTTCACTAATTAGAATTCTGTAAGAGTTCAGGAAATCACTTATACACTATATCTTTCAAAAGAAGAAAGGCAATAGGCAGGCTGAATGATCTGCACAAGTAGTTTACAGAAGAATCATGAATAAAATCCTGCTCCTGAAATGACCAATCTCTTCTCATCAATTCTCCCGTGGGGCTCTTAAGCAATTTAAATAAACAGCAATTACAAAGATTGCAAGCTGAGGATTGAATGCATCCAGTATTAAACTTCTGCACTGCATGAATGCCACAAAAAGGTATCTTGTACTGTTTTCCGATACAGGAAATGTCTAAAACATGATGTACCTGAAACATGTCAGTGTTGCTGTCATGTGTATATTCAACCACCACAGTCTGGGCCCGAGATAAGGTATATGATATGCTATGTTGGTCCTTGTTGCTTATTGCCTATGGAAAAGAATAATATTTAAGCATCACAAATAAAACAGATCAAAGATTAATAGTCATCAACTAATTAATGAGCAACTTAAACATACTGGCATCATAGCAGTTAGCATGACAGGCAAGCACTCTTTATAAGTTCATTTTCAGGCCTCTGTTTCTTAGCACAAGATGTGACGCATTCACTTAAACACCATCTGAGCTCAGGTTTAACTGTCTGAGTTTAGCAGTCTAAGACATCCTTGGGATGTCCTGGGAATGACACTTGTGTTGTGGTCCACTTCTCCCCAGCACTCAAAGGAAAGTCAACTGGGTGTAGTATCCTGCAAATGCTGTTCACAGAATGTGGCACATTCAGCATAAAAGGAGGGCGGTGGGGAGGGTGGCACTGAATATGAATCCCCCCCCCCAACACACACACACACACACACACACACACACACACA